AACTCGGATAAATCAACATCTTCTAATTTTATTCCTTTGTCGTTGTCTTCTAGTATTTTGTTTCAAATTCTTCTTTTCTTAGTTTCCATTGCTCTTTGTTTCTTCGCTTCTATATATTTGACATCCGTTTTTTTCTTGTGATAATACAGCCCTGAATATATGGCGAGTTGCTCCTTGATTTCTTCTAATGTTAAATCCTCTGGTGATATGGTATTAGACATTTTATTATACATTTATATATAGAAATATTTCTTTAAAATGTTTCTATTTTTTTCTAAATATTTTTATATATATTATTTCTAATTTTCAAATTTTGAAACCTTTTAACAGTATCTCTTATGGATGCTTCTATCGATGGTTTATTCCATAATATATTTTTTGCCCACATACCAGCAGTTTCATAATCTTTCCAGTCTTGATTAACTTTATGTCTCGCTATATATCGTTCTTTTCTTTCTTCATCCTTATGTTTTGTAAAATTGCTGTAACCTTTAGCTCCAAATGAAGCAGTTTTAGTATTTCCTTTTTTATCTGTTATAACAGCATCGTATTTTTTAGCTTTAGAACTAGACTTCTGTATAACAACTTCAGGCGTTAATATATTAAAAAGAATAGAAAATAAATTCTAAATTGTATTAATGAATACTATTCCTTTTATCAAACCCATAAACATACCCGAGTATAAATATAAACAGAGTAAATATGAAATGGCTCCGGCATTGCCTTTTCGTTCTATTATTGTTGCAAGTTCAACAGCAGGCAAAACAGTTTTAATTCAGAACTTACTATTAAGTATTTATCGTAAGTCATTCGAGAGACTATACATCTTCAGCCCTAGTGTAAATCCAGATCCAGCATTTTATGAAGTAAAAAAATACCAAAAAGAAGTTATGAATGTGGATGATACAAAAAAACAATTGTATTTTGAGGGCTTCAACCCTTCTGATTTAAACCAGATATTAGAACGACAAAAGAAAGTTATAGAATTTCAAAAGAAGAATAAACAGAAAGATTTATTCAGCATTTGTATCGTAATTGACGACCATAGCGATGATCCCAAATTTATCAGATATAGTAGTATGCTACATGGTTTATTTACGAGAGGACGGCATCAAGCAGTGTCATGTATTTTATCTTTACAGAAGTATTCATCTACTGCTCCAATTATTCGTTTAAACGCAAGTTCGTTATATATATATATAAACTAAAAAACATGACGGAAGTTAATAGTTTTTTGGATGAGAACAGTGCAATTGTTAACAAAGAAAAATTATATGATATGTATCAACAGGCGGTTCATGATGCACCTTACAGCTTCTTTTACATAAACTGCAATAGCCAAGACATTAATAGAACTTTTTACATTAGATTTGAGAAGGCGTTTATTATTGATGAACAAGAGGAAGACATATAAAGAAACGATGACATTATAAGATATTATAGGGTCATGCCAAGAACTGCGATAGACTACTGCTATGTAGGTCATACTACAGATTTCACAAAGCGTAAAAGCACACACAAACAAGCTTGTATTAATCCTAATGTTCGTTTTCATAATTTAAACTTATACAAAACAATAAGAGAAAACGGCAACTGGGAAAACTGGGATATGGTTTTGGTTAGGACTGAAAATATTGTTAATTCACTGGAGGCAAGAAAGCGCGAAAGGGACTATATTGAAGACTTAAAAGCAAACCTAAATATGATTAAGGCATACAGAAGTAGGGAAGAAGCAGATGAAGTAGGTAGAGAATTTAGAAATACACACAAAGAAGAAAAGAAAGAATATGACAAAGCATATCGTGAAAATAACAAGATACACAGACAAGAAATGAGCAGAATATATCGCGAAAACAAAAAAGATAAATTACTGGCTAAAATTGAATGTGCGTGTGGCAATACATACACTCATAAAAACAAGTCAAGACACGAACGAAGCAACAAACACCAATAATATTTACAAACACTAGAACCAGTTGATTAGTTAATAATATCTACAAATATTATTAACAAATTAAACTATTGAATAATTACATAAACTTACTGGTGGCAATCGATAATATATTTCGTCGCTTTTTGTTTCCTCGAGATGTTCGACGCGACTTATAACCTCCTTCAATGTATTGAATAATAATACATCTGTTTTAGTCTTTTCATCTATATCTAATTCTTTTATTTGTTTCATATTTTCAGTAGAACAAGATTTAGATGTTTTAGAACCCATATATATATATATAATTATACATATTTATTTATGTGTGGCTTTATGTTTGGCTTTTTGTTCTTCTGTTTCCAATTTATCTCCGTTTTTTTGATGCTTCCTATAAACTTTATCCCAAAACTCTGGATTAGCATTATATCGTTTTTCAACTTCTTCTTTATGCTTTTTTGCATTAATATATTTAAGATTTTCTTTTTCGGTTTTAAAAATAACTGGCATATAATATTATTTAGATTAAATATCTTTTACTAATCACTATCGTTATTGGACTTTATTTTCTTCTTCAACTTTGTTATTTCGGCTTTCATTGCTGCCATTTTCTTTTTCATTGAGTTCACTAAATCCGCTAATTCTTCATGCTCTTTCATTAAATGCTGTAATGCTCCATGTGTTATTACTGCTGTTTTACTATAATCAATGCGTTTATATCCATTCTTGTCAGTAGTGATAATATCTTCCCATTCTTTCGGTATTGATTTTTCAATATCTTGTGCTATATACCCTAAATTAAATGATTTACTTTATTTTCATCTTCATTTAAATGTGTGAAATTAAATGTTTTCGGCTTTACATATTTAATAATTTCATAACATTTCTTGTTATTTACCTCTTGTATATTTTCTTTTAGTCTTACGTCAGAAGTAGAACCTGCTGTTCCTTCAACAAAAATACCGCCCGGTGTAATCTCCAATACTTCATTACCCGCTCCAACCCTACCAAAACAAAGTTAATATTCTCCTGCATCAGTATTCAAAAACTGTATCTGGTCTACGGTGCTTATTGTTTCCTGTGTTATTTGTAAATAATTTAGAATATTTAATTTTTCATTTTCAATTCCTAATAATTGTACTCCTCCTACATCTAATAACATTTTTCCATCAATATCAGTATTATTTAATGTTATTTCTTCACTTGTAGCATTTGTTATGTGTGTAAATTGTAAATGCTCCATAATTTTTTACTTCATTATTCAATACTCGTAATTGTCCATAATCAGTTCCTATTCTCATTCTAATTTCTCTACTTGTATCACTATTGGTTAATAGCATATCATAGCTACTACTTACTAATGCTTCACTTAATATATTGTTTCCACTACTTAATATTAAATTTTGTGATAATGTTAAATCTTGATTAATTGTAGTTGCTCTGTTTAATGTAATTCCGTTAGTGCCGTGTAATTGTAATGCTATTGTTCCTGTTGTTGGGTCGCTGTTTTTATTTGACTGTAATGAAAAATTCATTTCAGTTGTTGTAATAAGATTTAATGAATTTGAAGCATCAGCTCGCTGAAAAAACCTAGCATCAGTGTTTATCAACTGTTCTCCTAATACCTCTAAATTTGTTGATATTGAAACGGCAACAAACTGAGATGTTCCACCAACTCTTAAAACATATTGAGATAATGGTGGTCTTCCTATTCCAACTCGTGCCGTTCCGTCCCGTCCAACAAATAATTCGCAGTTTCCATCATTTTGTAAAACCATTTCACCGTTTGTTAAACCAAGTTTTCTATTTCTAAATTCAAACTCTCCTTGAAAATCACTAACAGTTAATGTAGGATTAGAACTTCCACTTTGTCTACGAATTAATAACCCCGCTTCAGCACCTTGTATAGTTTCAATTATTACATTGTTCCCTCTGTTTAAATTCAAGAACGTTTGTGAATTGTCCGATGTATTATAAACTTTTAAATGGTTGCTGTCATAAACAACATAATTTGAAGTGTTGCCTATTGTTAAAGTGTTTCCATTATTTGTAGAATTATTTATTGTAATTCCTTCATTAGGAATTAGTAATATTAGCAGTATCAACAATCAAATTATCAATATTAACATTGTTAGAAGGATTCAAATCCAAAGTAGTTAAACTGTCATCGCTTGTAGCATTAGCAATAATTTTATTTCCTTGTAAAGTTATATAGTTTGTGGCATTTTTAAACACTCCTACAACTTTATCACCGCCTCCAAATTGATTACTAAATATTAACCCAGTAGTAGGTTCAATATTAAATGTTTGATTTTTTTAATGTCAAACCGCTATGAATAACAGTAGGAGCTGAACAATCAATTATAGGAAACGTTGAAAAGCGATTTTCAAAATCTGATTTAGGAACTCTTAAGTCTAATAAATTATCAATATCTGTATCACTATATCCACCACCACCGATATTAGCATCAATGTATGTTTTATCATAATATAAATTTTGTGTTTGAGTAATATTATAATAATCTGTTGTTAGTGTTGATGTTGTGGCATATGGTGCTAATGCTGTTGCATCAATCCAATTATTAGCATCTATTTCAGTTTTGTTATAATATAAATTACTATTTTGAATAATAATATTATATTCAGTTGTTAAAGTTGATGCGGTAGCATATGGTGCTAATGCTGTATTATCAATCCAATTATTAGCATCTATTTCAGTTTTATTGTAATATACATTATTATTTTGAGTAGTATTATTATGTTCAGTATTTAATAAGTGAAATAAAGAACTAATAATTATGTATACATATATATATACATAGACCTGACATGCATACACAAATTATACACATCCCTGTAAAGGGAAGGTAGCATGCAACCATGACTATAGACTATACATGCACGCGTGGGCAACTTCATGTTGCCGACGCAGGGTCGGTATCAGAAGCATTAAATTAACATTTCCTACTACAGTACAACATACTCCCCGAACCCAGCTCTGCTCCTAGAGGCCACTAGATCATCTCTTCTGCCAGAGCCCTGAACTCCAGGCTTTCTTCCGTCGAATCGCCTGGTGGCAGCTCATCGGGAACCCGAAGCTTGAGCACCGCGCTGTTGTGGTAGCAGGGGCTTCGGATGAGCACGACCTCCTAGGAGGAACGAAAGGCTTTAAGGATGATTAGGGTTTAAGGTCGTGGATTTCGGGTTAGGCCGTCAGGGCTGAGGAGCAGGATATCGAAGAGCCACAGTTGTGCAGAAACGGGCTAGTTTGGCCAGCCCATACCATCACAGCAACAGGGAATGTTCAGGAATGGCGCTGCACGGGATTGAGCTCCAGGTGGCTGCATGTGAACAGTTTACCGCCGTGGTAACCCACAGGTTCCAACAGTCTCTCCGTCTTTATCTACATCCCTTCTCATTTGCACTTCAAATTTGGCCTCTTGCACTCAAACTAAAACCTTCATATATATGATAAGCTGAAGCCTGAAAGCCCTAAACTCAAGAATCCATGCTGCAGAGATAACGGATAAGAACCTAAGACCTCAGCCTTACAGCATTGCGGTGTCACCCAAGCAGAACAAGGGCAGAGATCTGCGCGCCACAGGAGTTCTAAGGGCCCCCAAACCCTAAATCTGCAAACCCCACAGCTCCAACGCACCAAACCGCCAGCCGCTAAACCATCAAACCCTAAACACTCAAACCCCCTGCCATTTCCATTCTTCAAAACCTGCTAAACCTGTGTACCTGGCCCCATCTCGCGAGCGTGGAAGCATCCCAGCCCAATCCCGCACAGACTGAGTCCAGACTCCTTGCCCAAGAGTGATGGGGCACCGCTTCGGTGAGGAGCTTGGATGAAACACTCGCCCGCACGAAGAGTCTGCGTGTGGTCGGGAACCTCGCGAAGCAGAAAGCAGATTAGAGAAAGTTTATGAATGTAGGCTTAAGGGCATAGAGCTTTGGGATTCAACATTCGGGATTTGGGGGATTCTGGTTGTGGCACAGGATTTGAGGCTTTACAGTGCTGAGCATCTGAGGCCTCAGTTCAGAGTTATCAGTTTCGCGGGCATGCGCTGCGACGTTGGAACCGAAACCTTGTGGTGCAGAATTGTTTGTTGATCCCGCTCTTAACCCATAGCCGCTGGCTGTATAAAGTTAAGAGTATGAATTGCTTTCTTCCAATGGGATGCGGCCTCACAAACACTTTCAGAGTGTTCTTTCCTCTGAGTCTGGGGTTTAGAAAGATTAGATTCGTGCTATCTGCTTCCTAATTGTTCCCTAGCTTCAGAGAAGCATGTATTCTGCAGCATTCTTCTTCTTCTTCCCCATCATCATAACAACAGCACTCATCATCACGACCATCATCAGCATCATCCTGATAATAAAACACAAGCTGGCCACGATCCAGCAGCGCAGACCTCGAAGTAGGGGCAAGCGAAGGTCCTCGCAGCGGCAAGCCGTAAGACTTTCCCTCTTTCACACATGCTTCGAGGGGCTCTGCTACCTGCAATCTCTGACGCAAGAGCTGCAATCCTTTTCCGCGACCTTTCTTGTGTGCCGGATGTCGCAGAGTGCCGGACAATGTCTTGATAGGTGCATTATGTCCAAATTGGGCCACGCCCCCGCTCAGAAGCAGGCTTCGATCGTGTGGGCTAAGTGAAGTAGATGAGTCTATGCTGGAGCGCCATGACGACTTTCTTATTGATAGGATGGTGACAAGCTTGCAGAGTTCACTGAATGGTCAATCGCGGGGCTGGCTCATATCTCTGAATCACTCCCAAACCGCCACTCATAGCTCAGAATTGGCCAATGCGTGTCATCAGCTGCAGACAGCTTTGCTGAAAGCAATCTGAAAGCCTCAGAAGAACCTTGCTCCCTCACTGTAGTCAACTCTTGAGACACAGTAGGAGTGGCAACCGCATTGCTTGGAGTTGCGTTCGATCTTCGGCCGGCCTTGCTTGGTAACATGTCCGAGTGTCTGCAGGCATACTTCAGGAGTGGGGGGAAAAGATGTTCAAACGAAATCCCCTGTTTCTTCCGGCATCACCCCTCCGGTTCCTGAAATCCTCTGTGTTGAACAAGGATGAGGCGGTCCTTTAAGCTAGTACAGTGAGGCCAGGTTTGTGGTTAAATTCTAATTACATCATGGAGCCCCTCAGAAAAGGTGTGACTACTAAGTGCTTCGTGCTCAGATCTCTCCCTAAGCCCGAAAGTCCTAGACCTTAAGCTGCTTCACCCGAAACCGTGAATCCTCTAACCTTCCAAGGGTTAAAATCCGAAACACAAATCCCAAGCACCAAAAGCCCCAAATCCCTAAATCCCCGAACCCCATCCCACCTCTCAATCCTCAGCCCCTCAACTTACCTTTGGTTACGAGGGAAGAAGGGTAGAAATTGTGGTATAATTGTACCCCATTCCTTCATTTACTAGGCAAAGGGAAGCATCCCACCTCTCAATCCTCAGCCCCTCAACCCTGACTGCCGTGACTGCCAAGGCACAGGTCCATTAGTTTCAGAAGGCTCGGATGCCACCATGGTTCAAGTAGAGGTCAATGTCCCTAGGCCTGAGCTCTTGGCTTGCGCAGGGTTTGTGAGCTAGTTTCGTCCGGGGGGCTTCCGGAATTTCGCAGTCGTAGGCTATTGCAGAGGTTTAACTTTGAGCTTCATGGTGTGGGGCATGATGAAGTTCGCATGCCAAAGGGCACGGACACATCCTAGAGAAGACATGCGCACACATACACCACACCCGAAAGCCCAAATGTCAAAGCCCAGCAACTACGGCGACATCCAAAAGCAAGACGTCGCACGAAGCGATGGACAAGTTTGTTTGTTTACTTGCTAGGCCTACTCGTCTTTGCAGCAGTATTTGGACTAGTACTGATTGGCGTACTTGTACTGATACCACTTCTATTTCGCTGCTGCTGCTGCTGCTGCTAATGCTACTGCTGCTGCTGCTATTACTAAACCTACTACTACTACTACTACGACGACGACGACGACGACGAGGACAAGGACGACGACTGCGACGAGGACGACTTCTGCTGCAGGTCCTTTCTCCATGTTTTTTGCAGCTTTCGTGACAGCTCTGCTTCAAGCCGCGTTTCGAAAATTGACTAGTGCCTAGTTCATAAACCGAATCTTGAATGTGTTCTCAGTGTGATGGAATTTTCAAAATTCACACATGACATGGCGGTCAGCCGTCAATCACACCTCGATTGGCCCTATCCCAACAACAGTCCAAAGTCGTCAGGTTCGTTTGATCCCATGTCGCATGACCTCAATAAGACTACACGGTGACCTCTTCGTACTTTTGACCGTGGTCCGTTCATGCCAACCGAAAGCGGCGCCCAACACGAACTCAGCTGAAGGTGCTCAAATGCAAAGCCCACAAACCAACCATGCTCTCAGTTTATGGCCCTGAAAGCGACGCCAACAACCAATACCAGCTCCCGAACAACGAAAACCTAAAAACGGAACCCTCCAAATACAACACATACACATTTAGAACCTGGAAGAAATAGAACTCGAAACACCCTAAGACCCGGAGTCTCGTGAGCCGAGGTTCATGGCCTCCATGAGTTCCACGTACCTTGGCCGGCTCCGGCTGAGCTTGTGGAAATCCCCGGCCCTGTCAACCCAAAGCGCAAAACTCCAAGCTTTCAGTTTGGGGTGTAGGACAAGGACCTGACTAGGACTGTTGCCAGTAGGGGTTCAAGGAATGATTTAGGGTTACGCACGTATAGCTCAGGGGCTGAGGACTACCGCCAAGATCTTGGTGCTGCTGCCTACTCGATGGACGGGGAAGCGGAGACAAACTTCGATCCAGTACGAGAACAAACCAACCGACAGACAAACAAACAATCAAAATTCATCTGCCCAACCAAAAAGTGGCAATGCACTGAGCCAGCACGAAAGCAAGCTGCTGAACACAACTGTTTGAGGTGTGGGGTGTGGGGCTTTCCGCAGCATCAGCCGTTGCTATGTCATATTCCTTGCAGCTCTTTACACGAGATGCCCAACGGTTGTCGATAGTGCAACAGGTGTTGTACACGTCTTGCCGTGTGGAGGTTTGGACACACCTCATGTGGAAGCTGGCGAGGAACAAGTCAGACAAAACTGGCCTAGACTCGCCCTGGACCCTGAACTATTGTGCAGGCGCGAGGCCTTGTGCCGATTGTCTGGAAGTTCTTCTCAGTGTAGGCTCTCTTAGCCTGGGCGGGTGGGAGTTCTTGTCGCCTTGTAAATGTTTTCGTTTCCCTGTTCACAGCCTTCGGGCATTGCTCCTGACTACGGATCCCTTCTGAAATCCCGAGCAAGTTCTCCCAACACACCACCGCCCCTTCGCCGCGGCTTGAAGCCTAAACCTGGACCTCACACAACCACAAGATACTCTTGGAGCTCGTGTGCCCCTGCAAAGCAGCCTTGAGGTGTGCGTGTAGTCAGGGCTCTGTTCAGATGCGGGTAGTGGGTAGTTTCAAGGCTCAAGATTCATCCAGTACAGCTACTGATGCTGCTTATTGCCATCGTGACGATAAAGGATTACGAGACTGTGACTGTCACTGTTCTGAGCAATCTCTGCGAATATGCGGACATCATCGCCACCATCATGATGATGACGACCATCATCATCATCATCCTCGTCCTCCCCGTCATCACGACCGTCTCTAGAGACATAGCCTGGACTGTCGTTCTGTAGTTGTCTGGTGAGCACGTATATCATCACGATTATTGTCCCTCTTACTCGTCTGGCACTTGCAAGATGCATGGGATCCTCCAGCTTTGGCCGGACTGCAGCAGGCCCGCCGTTACCAACAGGACTCCTCCCACATACCGGCATCCTTTCAACACCCAAACCCACACCTGCCTCCTCTGCAGAGACGAACTCGACAAAGCCGATGCCCGAAGGGCGGCCGGAGTCGTCCATCTAGCGTGGGCTCACATGATGAGGGGCTCACGATCTATCCCTTACTGAGGCAACCCGCGAGGTTTGAGGCTTCCGGGAATCTATTCTTGATGTTGGGGATCTTGAAATTCTCAAAGATTCTGCGCAAAGGGGTTTATGACTCGCTTTGCGCTATCAAAAAAGTACATACTCACCTTCAGCGAAGATTTCTTTCCTGAGTTTAAGAGTTAGGGCCTGTTAGGGACTTTGGACTCTCCGCTTGTGCGTTTGCGGTGATGCTCCCGGGCTTGAGGGACGGGACTATACACTGGAGGAGCTTTTTGGGGGTTCCTTCAGATGAAGCCCGTACCAGCAGCTTTGCCCGAAAGCTCTAGCCCCGAATCTCGCCGATTGCCGACACCAATCACCTCCTGTCTTTGCTTGTAGCGGTCTTTCCTACCTTAATTAACACATTGCAACCTAGCACTCACCAAAGACAGATAAGGTCTCAGGTGTGGGTTTTTCGGCAACCAAAACCATTGCTTTGGGCTAAGGGTGTAGGCAGCCCAAAACTTCAAACCAACCACAACAAACCAACCAAACATCTATGAACAACCACAGATACCGTCAAAAAGGAGAAAGGACATTCCACCCAGGTCATCCGATCCGAAGCGGGAAGCGAGATGCGCAACGTCGTCGCGCCAAACTGGTGCCTTCAGGTGAATCCTGCCGGTCATCTGGTAGCCAGTGAAGAATGCCCTCACCTTCAGAACTAAGGCTTTGCATTTCGGGTTCAGGCTCAATGAATGGTGAGAGCGCAACCCGACAGGCAACAGCAGCACAGGAGACGCGAAGTGCTACAGGGCTCTCATGAGCCTTCATGTGAGTGTTCTCCTACAATTTCTTGGGTGATGCCACTTGTTTTACTGGATCCTTTGTGAAGAGATCAAGAGTTACAGATCAACATCTCAAGTCATGGATCGCCTTGTAAGGGCTGAGAATGTGTCGAATTGCTAGATAAAGCCATCATGGCTGCTTTGTTTTGAGCTCCTGGGTTCAGGTCGTGAGCACCACAAAAGACACGTCTACTGGCTCCAATCCCCGGCGCCAACTCCTCCTACACCCTAAACTCCCCAAGAGCTCTCAAACCCAGAGAAACCTGCATCAGAATTCTTAAGTCCAAACCTTCAAAACGTACAACTTTCACAAACCTCCTTCGAAGCAAACAGAGGCAATTCCGACGCTTCATGTACACCGGCATAAACTATGACAAAACCTCAAACTCAACAGCTGTTCAGGGATTAGGAGTTCAGCTGTTCTTTCCTGGCTCCCGCAAATAAATGTATTACCATAACTAAGACAGCGCTTTTTTTGGTGCTTCCGTCCCTAAAGTATCTTCAGCTCAGTACTAGGTATTGACAGTTACCCATATCTTCGGGCTTGACATGGGGGGCTTGAAAATTACAAGCTGCTTCTGGAGCACATCTGTATTAACACCATGGAACCACCGGAAGCCTGAGCGATGGTACTTGGAGGTCCATGGGTAGTTATAAGTAGGGTAACTCTACTTATAACCCATATTAGGGGACATATAACCCCACTAACTAGCCATGGACCTCCAAGTAGGCCCGGCCCACCTCGTCCTCGGTCGCCGAGAAGGGCAGTCCCTGCAGTCTGAGGCCTCAGAGGATCGGAGTTCCACCAAGAGAGGGGCTTCTTTCGGAGTTTGTCAGAGATATAGGGCTGTTCTGAGTAAGGCTTTGACAGAAGCAAGAAGGCTTCAAGATGTTGTTCGTTTCGGAGCACTTCGGATCTTCTTAGCGCTTAAAGCTTGAACTATGATCTTCTGGGGTGTGGGTCTGTAGGGTTGAAAGGCCTACAGAAAGGATCGGGGGATGAAAACTACTCATGAGCCGACAAGGGAGGGTGGTCGTTTGGTTGAGCTCCTGGAGTCGCACACTCCAGAAGGTAAAAAAACATTTTGCAAAACACACACACACACACACACACACACACACACACACACACACACACACACACACACACACACACACACACACACACACACACACACACACACACACACACACACACACACACACACACACACACACACACACACACACACACACACACACACACACACACACACACACACACACACACACACACACACACACACACACACACACACACACACACACACACACACACACACACACACACACACACACACACACACACACACACACACACACACACACACACACACACACACACACACACACACACACACACACACACACACACACACACACACACACACACACACACACACACACACACACACACACACACACACACACACACACACACACACACACACACACACTTCGACTGAAATCCGGCAGCCGCACATCTGGACCCCTAGGCGAGACATGTCTCACTTCGACACATCTGCAAGCAGCGGCTTTTGGTGTGACTGTCGTCTGAGGCGGACTGAAACCGTGAAGAATAAATGCTCACACGGCAAGAGCGACCTGTGAGAGCTTGCAGAAATCCCGCTACCTGGAAACCCGCTCAGTTGAGAGGCAATTGTTGGAAGGTGGTCGCGCGCCGGTTGCTTTGCCTGTGCCTGGCCGAGACGGCTCGGGAGTTTCAGCTCAAGGCACAACCCTCTGACCCCTTAAAGGGAGATGGCTCGAAGGCGATGGAACAGGATCCCCTTATGGTTCATAGGGCGCTGATTATTGGTGACGCGAAGCTTGCAGACGAAACCATCACCTCTAGAGGGGAGCCGCTTTAGGCATCCACGAAGGCATTACATCAGGGGTTACGCGAAAGTTTACACCGACGAAAGACTGCGAATCAAGAACCATCGCCAACCCAAACCGGCAAGATCTGCAACTGGAAAAGTCCTCGGTGCACCTCGATGGTCTTCCAGCCACACAAGCGGTAAAGAACGATAAAGCACCCGAACACCCCACCCTAAGTCTGATAGCCTGAACTTCTTGAAGCCCTAGGAACCCAAAGCCTTCCTGGCCTTTGCCGCCGCCTCCTCCCCAACCCTTGCCGCCGCCACCCCAGGCACCAGCGCCCCAGTCGGCGCCTTTTGCATCGATGTGTTTTCAGTCTCTCTGGCATTGGACTTCTTGTCTTCGTTCTTTTGACCCTCTGGGACTTGGGCTCGGAATACATAGAAGTCATGTCTGTTTTGGGATGGGCTCTCGCCGAACCCTGGCACCTAAGACTCGCGACCCTCCACTACTAAACCTCTAGCCGCGAAGCCCGAAACTTGAGTCCTAAACCTTGGCTTCTAATTCTTGGGCCCTCAACGAGTACTGGTACTAACAAGCAGCGTTAGCAGAAGCTGCAATACCACGAAGACGACTACGAGAAATCATGGCGCCCGCTAGAAATCAATGAAAAGACGTTTAACCACGACCCTGATGCAAACAGCACTTGCAATCGTGAGACCATGCATGGCAAAGACCCGGAACACTGTCGATCTCGAAGCAGACCCCGCACAGCGCACACCCAACAGCCTCAACCCACGGCTCCCACTTTTGCCTCCACCCATGCCGGCGAGGGCGCCGCCACCAAGGCCGCCCAGAGCACTCACGAGGAGCTGCATCACCTCTGCGATTCGACTGGGGTGGAGAGTGGGGTGGGGGGAGTTTTCTCGATCACGACCCATTCGAACCAGAAAGAGCAGCTGCCCAGCTGCGCGGAGGAATCTCGTGGGGAAGTTTTCTTGGGAGGGCTTTGTGTTTTCATAGCAACTTCTTGATTATCAGATATTGAGGAGGTCCTGCAGCCTGATCTTTGGGACGGAGTGCAGCAAATCCAGGCTCGTGACGCACTTCTGCGGGCGGGCTTCAAGGGTTTTCTTAGGGTCAGGGGTAAGAGACCGGTCACATCATACAAAATCTGATCACATACCTATGTGCACCGAAAGCCGCTCCGTTGAGAAGCACATCGAGCAACTGGTCTTGGGTTTCCAACCCCTCTCCAACCCTTGTAGTATATCCTCAGAACCCAACAGCCATGGTCCAAAGCAAAATCTGCATGCCTTCGAAGTGTCCTACACCCCAAAGTTCGTTGCCGAAGCGCATCCATCATGCCACCTTTCCCGCCGCCAGCGGCGGCGCCGCCCATCATTCCGCCCTTGCCGGGCATACCGCCCATGCCTGCTGCAGGTGGTGGGCGGCAGGGTTCCTAGGCCCTCCAGTTCTTTGCCAAGCTGAAGGTCAGGACAGGTGGCTGCAAGCGAAAACAACAATAACACTTGTAATGCTGCTGAGAGCTCCCCGTGAGGGTTTGGGGTCCCAAAACCGTCCAAGGAATCTGAAGTTGTCTGAGCACCACAGTATGCACTCCCGGGTTTAGGGCATCTAGTCTGCGCTAAGGCTCCGGCGCTACTCTATGGAAAATACAAACGAGAAAACATAGTGCTCGCGAAGTCATCGCAAAACAAGGTCTGCAATTTCGCAACATAGACTGCTGAATACCGACCGAAGCGCGCACTACCCTGCACCTTACATGAGCTCCCGACTCGGTAACCTCCAGAACTAAACTCTCCTGAACAGCTCGCAGCAAATCGCGCCTTTCAGCATTCCCTTGCCGCCGCTCTTGGGTGCTGCGAATTGGACAGTCACCTAGTCGGAGGTTGCTACTCCTCACGGGGTTAGATCTTAGATCTTAGGCCGTGGTGCTGAAAGGGACCCTGCAACTGGGCCCAGTGTAAGCCCAAACTCGAAACCGTGAACCTTACGCACCAAAGAGACCGAAAGATCGAAGTTACCAAGTGCTGTAGATGTCTGGAAGACTAAGAGCTCCGTAGTGAATGGCAGGACTGAAGTTTCATCTCAATTCGCAGAAGAAGACATCCTGCGTTTGAAGGCCCGAACCCTCAACGCATCAAGCGACACAGGAGAAGTAATGCAGAAACTCCTAAGTAAAATCAAAGACCTAAAACACAACGGGCCCTTACGATCAAAAAGAATGCACTGCAAGTGCTAAACTGCTAAACCCTAGTCATCCCTCAATTCCCAGAGCCTAAACCACATGAAGGAACTAAACTCTGAACCCACAACCCTCCAACTATTCCCAAGTCACGGGAGAGACCAGGCTCTGAGGCACGTTGCCATTCCTGGGCTCGAGGCTTTGGGTTCAAGGCTTCGGAGGTCTTTGCTCTCCAGGGTTTATAAGGGCTTGCGGCGGCCGGGCTCAGGGCGTGGGCGTCACGTCAACAGGGGGGTTAGGGCCGTCAGCCCTCATTTTCAGCCCAGCTTCACGTGCTCCACGATCCACTTCGCGTCATCAACACTGGTCATCGTGACCTAGTTAGGAGGTAGGGGAGAGTTAGGGAGGGCTGTTGAAGCTTGAGGGGAGCTGCTAAGAACCGTAAACCCTCCTCCCAGCTGCAATGCGCGTATGCCCACTAGACTGCACTCCGTCGGTTAGAGACGGGGCTCTTGCCGGGGTGGAAGCCTTTTGCAACTACAGTCGGCACGTAACTGTTTCTCAAGGGTCGGAGCCAACATCCAACACAAACCCCGCTCCAAGTGCTTCATAGCAGAGAGCTTCTAGCAGATAGATATGGACGCGGTCCGAGAACTGATTTAAAATGCTAATGCTGTCAGGATCTACTGTTGTTGATATGGCATTCTCACAACATGGCAGCTTGTACTAAGTCCGTCAACAAGAACTCCTTGGAAGTGCAGACTGCCACGCTCCGTGCTAGCGCTCCCTCTCTCTGGGCTGTTCAGGGCTTCGGCTGTGCTTGCGGCCTCCTCGGGGTGCAAAAGCGTTGTTTCTTTAACTTCGTGCGAGATTGTATAGCACGGTTGTGTAAAGGATGAGAAGAGACGCTAGTTGGCGTCGGAAGTATTGAACTTCAGAAGTCAAACAAACAACCGCGTTAATTTGAGGTCACAAGCAACTTGTAGTTATCGCGGCAGTGCTTTGATCTTCACTTGCGCGCATAAACATAAACCTCCTCTTGATGTTTTTAGAGCCTGCAGGAAAGTGCTGTGCTGCTGCGGGGCGATGGCAGCTGCAGCCTCCTTGCCTGCGAGCACCGGTAGCACGTTCACGTCTTTCACCTCAGAATCCGAGGCGAGGCTTGGCGGCGTTCTTGGCGGCCGAGTTTCGGCACAAGCTCAAAAACCTGCGCCAGAGCCCTAAGAGCCCTAAACCCTACAGTATAATCCGAAAGTGAAAGAAATCAACTGCTACAGCCCGAGTCCAATTGAACGAATTTTGATGCGCGAACTTCAACCCAATCGCGATCGAGAACGCGCTCCTAAACGTGTGTGCAGGACAGACAGATCTCTGTTCAGACAATAAAAATGTTGCCAGCCTCGCATGTAAAGCCTCCCTTCTCAGGCGGGTCGCCGTGCCATACTGACCAAAAATGGATCTGGTGAAGTCGTTCGTGCAATCTTTGGGGAGGCCGGTGATGAAGAGAGCTTCACTTGGCGGATTTTGCCTCGGTCTGAAGGAGGCTTTTGAAGGCCTTGAAACCTCCAGCAGACGGGAGTGGGTGGTGCTGGCCGCGGCCGGTGGTGGTTGTTGATGTAAAGAAGGCCTCTCAATGCTACTTTAAGGTTTCAAGGCTCGGGTACAAATCGAGGAACTGAGGCTGCTCGCAACAAGGGCGGTCGGAGCGGGAACTTTTTGGATCTGGATCGCTTTGTCACGTTGCATACAAGGCAACTCGAGGTACCCTTCACCCTTCTAGCTTCTCAGGTACCTTCAAGTAGAAACACCACCGTGACCAGGAATGTCTTGACGCGAGGTTTACCAAGACTTCAAGTTGACAGCCAAGCAGACAAGGAGCATCATGGCACGTACACTAACTATCGAGGCCCCCCAAACGTGCACAAATGCTTAAGCCAAACCTGCGGCAAGGTCCGTTTGTGTTCGGGCTCGGGGACGTGGCTGCTAGCAGATTTCGCCCTCGTGCCGTGTCGTGTCCTTTTAGGCAAAGCAGATCTCGTTTTTCTTGTGTAGGCACAAAAGAACAGCATGCTCGTGGATGCAATCTGCATGGAGTCCACGCCACAGAAGTCTGAAAGCCTCAATAAACATCAAACACCTCACACTACTTTGTAAGTTTCTCCAATCGCCGGTCCGGGGTGGGCTTATGCTACAGCCATATCTGCTGGAGCTGCTATAACGAACCCTAACTGCGACGTTAAGCACTACACATCCCTATCCCCAAACGTTTCGCACAGCAATGGCCCCGAGGAGGGGGCCGGGCCCTGAGCCATTTTTTCCTGTAGCTTCTATCCGTTAGATCGCCATGATGACCAGCCCTACAAGTACCACTGAAGCTGCTGTCACCACTATCTCACCCATATCCGCTACTCTTCCGGGAGCTGTTCTTCTGCCGTTAACTTCTGGTTCTACTGCCACAACAACACCACCTAATACGGCGACAACTACTCCTACTCCTTCTCCTGCTACGTTGAAACCAGGTCTCCACCCTACTGCGAGTCTTGCGGACACGATGAAACGGCAGGGGCAGGGGGCAGGCAGGTCCTCCCCGGCACGACGCCGGAGGTCGGTACAAACCCGGAAGCGGAGGTCGACGAAGTTGGGCTCCTGCCACGGGACCTGGCAAGAAAGGATCTGGGACTGAACATCGGAAGGATTTGTTCTTTTCACAAACGCAGAGATAGAAAAAACAGATCGATCTATGGATAGGTGGATGTATGGTAGATGGATGGCTAGATAGATAATGGTACATAGATAGACAGAGAGAGAGAGAGAGAGAGAGAGGAGTTTCTTTGCTAGAACAGTGGGGGTGACTTCAAAAGTAACGCGCAGAGGGGATGTCTTCTCAGTTCGGTCGTCATTGAGCTGTCATCGGATTGGAGCTGGGGCTTCTATCCATCCAAAGTAGTGCCGATTCCAAAGCCATGACAGCAATAATCGTCATGATAGGCTTAGCAGCTCAGGGTCTCAGGAACGTCTTCAAGTTCAATATTCCGTCGTGTTGTTGGATTCCGTACTCAGTGGCTGAAAACTTTCAAACGAAGGTTTTGGGGTTTAAGGCTTTGTGGGTACGGCTTCGACCCTTAGGCAGTCGAAGTGTTCGATTTCTGCTCTGATTGTCTTCCTTACGACGTCTAAGCTGGAGCCTCAAAAGAACTGAGGCCCTGAACCCTTAGATTTAGCGCGCCTACCCCTAAACCCTCATCTCCACAACTTTCAGAAGGCCTGTGGAATCTTGGGACCAAAAGGTCTTTAGGCCTCACCTATTCAAGCATGACAATCTTACAAGTACAGATTCATCGGGTGCCCGCTAAGCTCTGCCGCCCAAGCACGGAGTTCGCATGTCAGTGGGGGTTGGAATTATTCCCGCACGGGAGCCCAAAACACTTGGAGCTCAAAGGGCACACTCTTCCCGCCTGGAGGTCCATGAACGCGTGCAAGGGTTTCTGGAGGCCTGCCTGGCAGCGAAGTCGGGGCTTTGGGTCACAGAGGTGTGTCGATCTTCTTGGGATCGTATCTTGCCAGGGTCAGGGATAGTTGTACGTGCAACCGCGCATCCAAAGGCGCCTTCCCAAGCATTCCGGCACGCAGCTGAAAGCTAGGTGAACCCTGGCTGAAAAAAGTCCATCGCACTCACCGGCTCTTGTCGATGCCACCACCACCACTCCCGTGGCACCTTGATGATCTGGGCGTTCAGCAGTCGCTCAAGCGCAGCATGGCCAGAAGCCTGCAATTGAGATGCTGGGTGGAGAAGCACCGCGAACAGTAACGTGTTCTTTGTCCACAGACACACCCACAAATACCGACAGCCTGCCTATCTTGTCGCGGGAAAACATAAGGGGGCTGAAACATTGGCATGTTGTTTGGGCATGTTCTAGTATGCCGGTGTAAGTGCGATATTGCCTCCTTCTTCCCTAAGACCTTCACAGTATACGTGTTTTCCCAGTGTTTCAATGTACCAAATCCAGAAGCTCTGAGAATGGAACTGGACCTTGAAGTCCACGTCTTGCAGCTGAAGGGTTCTTCACTGCTTCAGCTGTAGGTTGCTTTTCGGTTTTCAATATATGCAGATGGCCGCGGATTCAAGGCCGTTCTCCGTTTCGACTGTGTTTGGGGCTGCAATTTGGCTCTTCGATTCGTTGCCCTCCTTCTCGACTCTTTGTGGGCACCTCCACGGCAAACCGAAACCGCACACTTGAGACCAACAACTGTTAAACTCTGAAGTCCGGATCTCAGAAAAAACAATATCGAATTTCATGAGTCGCGATATGCGGATTGTCACCGGAAGTGCTACGAACCTTTTCATGGTGGTTTGGCCGCATACAATTGAAACCAACTCACCACCACCACGACGAGCAATATCGCGACTATCACCATTGCGACGATCACCACGACGACGAGAACAACCTCCAACACGACCGCATTGAAGACGACTCGACGACGACTCCACGACGACTACCACTACTGCTTCTACTTCTACAGCTGCTTCTAAGCTGCTACTACTACTGCTGCTGCTGCTGCTGCTGCCACTACTCCTAAGCCCCTTCTCTAGCGCCTCGTCCCCCTTCAGGAGAGGTGCAATGGCATCGAGCACCTCCTGTTGCTGTGGGTCTCAAGTCGTGCACTCGGGTTCGCCGGTGCATTTCTGGTCTCGAAACCGACTCGACCATGTTGGTTTCTACTTGCTGCAAGGACCTACTGTAGAAGGCTTCTAACCGGAACCTTGCGGGGGCCTGTGAACTATGGGAGCCACGTTCTAAAATCGTTACCTGCGCTCTAACTCTGGCATCCTCTCTTACAGCTCTCTCGAAACCTCAACCAAACCCTCTAGGAACCTGACACAGTCCCCTACCTAGCCGCCCGAACCCCCTTCCACAAAAAGCCCGTCTCCTGCTGGAGCTTCACGAAAGTCTCTGCGGAGACTCCGAGGCTCTCCAGAGCCTGCTCTGTTGCTTTCGGGGTGACCCCAAACTGGGGAGGGTTGACGTCCTGGGAACTTTTTGTTGGGGTTTGCTTTTTGAAATAGGGGGGGGGTTGCTTTGGTAATTGTCTGTCGTAAGCTTTCACCAAGGGCTTCAGAAGTGAACTTTTATGAGTTTGAGCATTGTTGTGTCAAGGGTTTTCAGTCGTGGAGATCGTTGCGCATTACTACAACTACAACTATCAACACAAGTAAGAGAAGCACCTGCCTTGCAATCCAACCTTGAAACGCAACTACTGAACTTCAAGCCGTTCCGCTCGTGGAGCCTCTATAGAAGTCGGAGTAAACGTCAACACACCCCGAGAGCAAAACTCCAAACCCAAACTAAGTGCAGGGCTCGGAAAATCGGAAACACTTCAGGGCTAGTGTGCAGGATCGAGACAAAGTCGTACATACACGGTTGATAAAAGTCACCGTTGCGTGCTCCTCCTAGCAAATCTCGCGCCAGCTGTTTGCTGTGCCAGGGGGCCTGGATCGAGTTGGCAGTCAGGCAGCAATGCCAGTGTCTGGAAGATGTGTTGATCACTTCGAAGGAGAGATCAAGATCCTCTTCTGTCTCGCAACTGAAACCTCGCGTGGGGAGGTGTGCTCGCGCGAAGACAAGAAAACCAAACCCCAAACCTTCCTTTCGTTACCTTTAGCCTCGGCTTCTCGGTTCAAGGCCCGTCGTCGGATCTACGAGCACTCACGCCGCCGACTTCTGCCAGGGGACGGTATTTCTTCTGCGATGGCCGGACGACCAGGTCCATACCTGTGAGGGTTCGTCGCGGAGTTGCAGCTGATCCAAAACATTTTTTGGGCCTCCAAGCGGCTAGCGCCGCTCTCACGGCGTAAGGTTTGGGGTTTGGTACTACTATCAGCATCATGAGCCTCAAAAGAGAAGGACCTGGCAGGAACACCGCGTTCTGCGATGTCCTCTCAAACGTACTCTGACACATGCGTGAAAGCACTTGCATGATGCTTGTTCTCTGTGGCAGATTTTGAGAGGGGCTCTTGGGGTCAGTGCCTTCGTAGTGAGGCGAGAAAGTCATACGAAACTCCCTTCTGATCGAAAGCGGGGTCTCGATGGACGTCTCACGTACTCGACCCTCAGTGCCCTACTCCCGAAAACTCCTCCTAAACAAGCTACTGGTACCAGCCCGACTCATCATTCTCCGAAACAGTGCTCACCTCTGAACCACATAAACCTTCTCGCTGTATCCCTGCCTGACCCCAGCTGCGGGTCCAACACCCAGAGGCCCTTCCAGGGGCCGCAGCGCGCCTCTGCAGAAGGCTGGAGATTAGGCCTTCTACCCCATCCTCAAGCCTAGGCTCTGAAGCCCAGTCTGAAGTCTGACTTCGGAAGGCGATGCCGATGCCAAGGCTCATCGACTGTGTTGAGTCGGAGGCTCTTTGAAGTTTTGACTCTGCGTGGCTTTGGTGTCGCATGTGGGCTTCTGCAGCTGCGGGCTTAGTCAGTGCTGCTTGCTGAAACTATGGCAGCAGCTGAAGTACTCCTGCTGATGGTCAAAGATCTGTGGTTTCCGAGTGGAATGTACGTAGTTCCCGTAGTCAAGAGTACGTACAATGGTAAACCGGGGCAAACATCTCTGAATCCTGCAGTGGACCTGAAGACGCGAAGACCTCATGCAGCAGGGTTTTTGCACCCAACAGCTGTGCTCATTGTCTGCCTGTGGAATCCCGTACAACTCTGATGGAAGAAGCACATGGATCTGCTTTCGCTTCAAATTCGTATTTTCTTTATATTTTTACCGGCTTGCCGAATTTCGAATTGTCCATACTGTATCGAACCCATGTACTACAGGGGCCTTAATTAGAATAGGGTTCTGGGGCCCGATATACCGTAACTATAATAAGGAACCCCTGCAATAGTATTGGTAATTATTTGGGAGTTTCCGAAAATTGGGGGTACCATATTTTGGGTTCCTTATAAAAAGGATCCTACTATTTAGGGTACTATATTAGGGTCCCCTATTTTCGGAAACTCCCATTTAGGCCCCTATATTAACGACAGCTTGAGCCCCCCAAAGTGTGGCCTGGAAGGCGCTGGGGACCTCGTCGAAGCCCAGTTTTGCTGCCACGGCTTCCGCGGCTCCCTGGGAGATACAGCCGCAGCCATCGGAAAGGCAAAACCGACCTCGCAGGTGTTTGGGTTCCTACCGAGTTAACTTAGCTGTAAGCTTTATACCCTTTGGGCTACGTCTAAGTCTCTAAGTATTGTGTAGACGGGACTTTCCGGGTGTAAGTCTGAGTTTTGCGATGCATACGGCGGTTGGGGCTCAAAGTTTGGCACCAGAGTCCTGGTGCACATCCGGGAAAGTGCGATACAGAAACAGATGTGCAACCAGTGTGACCTCATGCAGAGACTCCTCGGCTCCTGGAAACATGAAGGTACTCGACGCCAACTCCTCCCCTTCAGCAACACTTTCGGCTGCGGGCGGGCAAGCTCAAGCCGAGCCACGCTCCGAATCCCACAAGTCCTCTTCCAGGCGCACGGACAAGCAGGTGTCCGCTCGCGTCTCAGAGAAGGACAGCTGCAAGCGTTGGTTGAACTTGCACAGCGTCATGTCCTGCAGGGATTCGTTTGTAAAGGTAGCTTGTACTGCGATTGTCACCCGCGTCAGTACCGTTTCCAGCAATTTCTAGTAGCACTCCCATGGCACTGTGATTGCCGTGTGTTTTGAAGATTGCTGGTGGCTGCTAGTACGGATACTTTACTGAAGCGTGGGATGTTGGAGCACGTCGCTTGCATATCCCGAATCAGGAACTTGATAGCGAAAAGCATCGCTGCTCAGGCGTTGCGGCTTAGGATTCAAAGTCTCTGACGTAAACCTTGGAGCAAACTCCTTAGTCGGGGATCTCGGCCCGACTCCCTGACATCACGCAAGCTCTGAGGTGTTAAGGAACGGAAGAGCGGCAGTTAACGTACGGTCGCTCTACATACGTTTCTGCAAACAATGTGAATTCTGGACGAATGTTAGACGTGAGCACCTTTGGAACCAGATTGTCGCACTATCATGATTATGATTACGACTGCGACTGTTGGCTTCATCACTTTTACTCTTATTGCCATTAGAAGCAGCATTAGTACTACCAATACCGTTAATCAGCAGCTTTATGACGAGTTTTCTTTATCGTATCTTCGTGTTGGTAGTACTGCGACTAGTGACTATTGATCTTCAGGGATCTCGAGCGGTCTCAAGAGATCCTGGCATTCGCATCTCGCTTCGTCTTCAGCAATCTCAAGGGGAAGGTGCTTGCTTTGGATTGTATCCACAAGCTACAACACACCCCATTGGAAATGCCCGCAGCCTTCTGCAACTCCGTCTCGCAAATGGACTTCGCAGGTGGATCGACTGCAGTCAGAACACCCGATCTGAAAATCTGCTTCAAGAGGCTGGTGCCAAGCGTTCCCAGCCTCCCAGCCTGTCACTCCGACCACCTGCCATGCTCTGGGGGAGGCGGCCACCCATTCTTCTTCCATCCCCGCTGCCAGAGTATATACGGACTTACCCAAGCCGGAGTTTCACCTCACCACCCTCAAAGTCCATCTTCACCGGCTTGCGGTCGATGTCCCTGTCTGGCCCTTTGTAGAAATATAAATCCTTCCTTCATGGTCATGTTCAAGATGGCCATCTGATCATTCGCACCTTTTTGAGTATTGAAGTTCTGTAGTGCTTTGGGATGGATGTCGGCACTGATCTGCTAAGGGAGCCTCAAAAACTAAGCACAGGGAAACGGAATGGCATCTTTGATCTTGCATTGCAGTAGAGCAAGCTTTCATTTTCGAGTAGCTGTTCGCGGGAACACCGTCTCCGATTATTCAAACCGCTCGGTCCTGATTGACCGCCATGGGCACAAGCTCGTTCCACACGGTCTCCACGCTCTGCTCCTGCATCTGATGGCTTCGTGCTAACGTGCCTGGGTTTAGGGCTTCAAGGCTCCTGCTACTATGAGTTCTTGTGTTTACGAAAACAGCTCCTCCAAGCCGGGGCCCTTCTCTGCGAAGTAGGTGACTTGATCTGGCACCTCCGCGATACACAAAGCAAGTGAGAACCCGGAAAACCCTAAAGCCAATCCACAAAAGCTCACCCCAAAACCCCTTTCAAAGCTTTGGCGTTTTCGAGGGTCAGCTTTTCACGTTGCACTTCGAAGGCTCCTTGAGTACACAAACCGAGCCGTTTGGGATCCCTTACCCAGCCACAAGGGATGCACGCTCCGATAACTTGAAGGATCGCCACTCTCAAACACTCCCAAGTCCTGGTGATGAGGTGTCATGAGATTGAGCGGAGATTAATATAGATCCCAGAGTCGTAATCGGGGTATGGGTCGTAGAAGCGTTCACTAGCAGCGAAGTGCAGGACTTAGCAACTATGGTTGATCATATCTGTAGCTATGCACTAGCATATAAATGATTTTCACAGGCCCATTTCAAAATTTCAAAGCTCCTTTCCAGGACTTGCAGGGTGGTTCAGGGTTTGGGGCTCAGCTGTGTTTAAACCTTAGGTGCAGGCCGCTGTGCTTAAACCTTAGGTGCTGGCCCTTGCCCTGCGAAGTGGTGTTCAGGCAGGCGTTGTTGATCTAGCCCCATGGGTGGCTATGTGTCCCACAACAATAAAACAAGCTGTGATCCCATCGACGTCCCAAGGACCGAACATCCAAATTCCAAGCCAGCCCAAACCCTAAACCCAAATCCTAAAACCCGCAGGCATGAATCCTAACCCCCCAGCCCCAAACACTCAGCTCTGAAACGCTAAAGCACATACAGAGACCCGCCTTCCAGTAAAGCAGACGCCACCTCCGCCGAAGGAAGTCAAACTGCCCGGGTGGCCGCAACCTGCTCCGCGAGAAAACCACAAGTGCCACAACAGCCAGAACAACCGGTTTACTGGGTTTCCTTTATTCTTTTTGGAGTCAACTAGCAAATACTCCAAAGCCTGCAACAGGCAAAGCATCCTTAAAGGAAGTAAGCATCCTGCACCAACTAACAACAGAGGGTCCTGCACTGCTTCAGCACTCGATGAGCTTCGGTCCCGCCGGGGCTAGAAGCCTTGATCCTCTACACCTGTCGCCCGCCCGCTCTGCCGGGCCACTGAGTTTATGGAGCCCGTCATGATGAGTCGCCCACACAGACACACACTTTGAAGGCCCCAGGCGAGAGATGTTCTCAAGTGTTGCATCCTGCTTGCACAGATTGCCCCAAATATTGTGATGTCGCGCGAAGGGCCTCTTCATTCGCACCATCAAGAAGCGATCAGACCCAAACTGGCGCCCCGCACGACCTTGGCATTGGCTCAGGTGCCAAGAACTCGAACATGGAATTATTCAGCACGTCCATTGCAGGAAAGCCCTTCGTTGCAAGCAGCAGCTGCGGTCTCAGAATGCTGAGCACTTGAAGCCTCGAAGTTTGGATTCGATGGGGACATCAACCCTGAAAAACTATTGCATAGAAAGACCTCCCACACTTTTGAGAACCCCTTAGCACGAGCTTGAAATGCCGGAGGCCTGCAAGCTTTACACCCGCAGTCACCAAGACCCTACTACCTCGCCACGCGCCTAAACCCGACCGACCCCGAAGATCCTAATTCCCCAAAGCCGAACTACGGAAAGACCCGAAGAAAGCACTCTCCAGCTCAACTCAAAGACCACACACCAAGAAACCCTAATTGCTCGTTCAGTCATCGGGCTGTTGCGAGCGGGGATGGGCGGATGGAGCGTTGCAGATGCATCCGCTGGACAGCCGCATGCTTCCTAAACTCGAGGTGTGGCTTTAAAGGGGTCTCTGCGAATAGTGTTTGGGGCCTCCTCTCTTCCATAAGTTGGAGTTTGCTCCTCAAGGGAACTTGGGGTTTGGATTCTCCGTTTTCTGTAGAGGTTCAAGGCTACAAAGTCTAAAGCTCCAGGGCGCACTACAAAGTGGCGACAGGCAGTGGCAGTCTTGATAGTCATACAGAATATGACTGCCATAACTGTACGGACTGTAGGGTTCGGGTGCCCGGGGCAGAGCACCACATGCCTAAACCCTCAGCCCCAAACGCAAGCCCTACACCCTAGAGCATAAGACCAGGGGGTTAAATTCTGTTTGGTAGGTTTCGAATTCAAAAGCGCAAACCGCAAAACCAAACCGTCCAAGGCCCATGAACTTCGGGAGTGGCTGTCGGGGTTTCTTGCAATGCAGGATGAATCCATGTCGCTATTCGTAGATGGTGGCAGCGTGTTTTGTTGATGCTGATACATCAATGCGGCTCCGAGATTCCAAGCGGAAGCAGTCCGGGTCCAGTCCCTCCGTGTCCTCAGGCTCAAAGTTCAGAATTGGGGATGACGATTTTTTGGGCTTCGGATCCTACGGTTTGGTTCAGACTGTTGGTTGCTATCTGAATCTGAAAGTACGAACGACCGCTTCAAACACTCGCAGACACAACAGCAGCCCATATTGGTCAGATCTACTGTTATGCTGACTTTTGGCAGGAGCACCTCTTAGTGATGCAACAGTGGAAGCAGGCGCCCCAGACGTAGCCGATCATTGCTGCCTTTTGAAAGCTTCAGATTTAACATCCTCAGTGTGAAGAAGGTCCGTCCCAAGAGTGCCAGAACTATCAACTTGCAAGACTGTGCTGCTAAGCAGAGCATCACATGTACGCTATGTATATGAAACCACACGTTTTGGGTGGAGCTCGGCTTCGCGAAGTATCCCGAGCAGACTGCGTACGCGGATCAGCCTGTAAGCCTTGATGTAATCCCCTGACCAATATGCCCCTCCGTAGGGAGAAGCATTGAAGACCCTGCTGTGAAGTCACCCAAGTATCGCGGCGTATGGGGCTTGGAGGCAGTCACTCACCCCTTCGCTCTCATAAAAGCGGAGCTCCCATGAGCACAAACCAAGAACTCAAAAGGTCTACCAATCTAACCCTGAGGCCCTTCACAAAGCTTGAGCGTCGGCCACGTCGTCACTGTGAACGAGCTTGGAGCGGGTCTCGGAAGCTTCTTTGCCTTCAAGGATGTCTATTATAGGGGTTTAGCGCCTTTAAGTGCATGCATGCGCGTGACTCAGGCGACTGTCGTTTGGTCGCTGAGGGCAGGGCCAATGACGCCTGCTTCCCGGCGCAATCGCTCAGACTCCCAGGAGCTTAGAAAGTCCACATCCGTGGCCTGACAGGAAGTCGCTCAGGCAGCAGAAAGGATCAATGCGTCTTGTTGTCTCTTGCAGAGCAGCTTGAATCTGAAGAAGCTGGCAGTAAAGCTGACAGTATCCTTTAAAGTCCGATAACCAGCGTGCCTGCTGCGCCAACAACTGCCACTCCTCAAGCGTCTTGTGCATCGCTTCCTTCGTTGCTTACGAGGATCGGAAGCGTGTGATCGTGTTTCCGAGTCGTACCAGCTGCGCTTAGCGCTAGGCTGCAGTTCTGATGTGTACGTGCATGAACCACTCCTGCAAGGCTGTGCTAAGAGCTCCGTCTGCATAGAGATGCACATAGACATGCAAATGTAAATGTCTGCATGTCGGTCTGTCTGTCTGTCTGTCCGTCTCTGTCTGTAGGTCTTTTTGCACGTAGGTAGTTGTTGAAGAATTATCTCAGCCGTCATCACCAACACCAGGGCCCAGTGAGGTGGGCTCACTTCAGAGGGCGACCCCAAACGGCAATGATGTTTGAAGCTTTCCAGAAACCTGTCTTCAAAAAGCTGGGTCGTCCGGCCTGCATGGCGTGGCGTCCCTCATCCATCAACGCTTTGGCCCAAATTCCATGCACCGTCCCAGCAGCAGCCTTGCAGGTGCGTTAGGAAACAGAAGTGGCTCCAGCTCTATGGCGAGGAACCCCCCCACTTGCAGGGCCCAAAGCAGCTGCAAAGAGCAATCCGCTCAGGAGGGTCAGGGCGGCTTTGTCATGATAGCTTCCATTGGTTCTTGCTGTGACGGTGTTGAGCTGCTTTCTGCTTAACAATGCTTGCCATTGCTACTTCTTCCGGTGCGACTAGTCTTCTACCAGCTTGCCCTGACCCATACCACGGCTCTGGTCTAGTTGTAATGAAGGTGTTGATAGCGGAGTCATAGTCACAGACAAACGGATATGCGAGCAGCCAGGGCGCCAAGACATATTCCAAACACTCGGCATCCGAGTGCCCCATCTCTGCATGACGAAGATATGCAGACACTGCCTGCAAAGGTTCATAGGTGTTTCTCACGATTCGCCCGATGCTCTCTTGAAGTGCAGCACTCGGTCGCGAGACCCAAATCAGTCAGAGAGGTTCTTTGGGGTGAGCACAACATCGAAAATCCTCAGACTAGCTGCATATCTCCCGCGGACGCGGTGCAACATATCGTCTCGGACGCGATCCACACTGCTCAACTCCCTACGACAAGGCTGGATATCCTGTCTCGAGTATCTACAGCACTAGGGCAGAACGACCAGCTGCGCCGACCGCACCGTTTCAGGAGCCTGCCACAAGTGCTGAGACAGCATGGTAAAGGGAAGATTTGCTGCAAGTTCCAAGCTGTTGTAGACCATCCATAGCCTCGGGAGTGAGATCTTGAAGCAGGCTTTGAAATCTGAGACGTGGCCGTCACCAGTCTTATAGTTTCACCTGTGAACACTCGTCGAATTTCCACGTCACGAACTTCTTTACAAACCAACAGAGGAACGACGAGTCGTCATTTCCGGAGCATCGCAGTATCCTGGCACTATTTCAATAAAATCCTTTCCGAAAGAGCAGCGAGACGACAAAGGCAGCAACAGTAGGTACCATGGACGAACACAACGACGGCATCTACACATTTGCGGCAGTACTATGTTGCGTCTAGGTTCTGAAACGAGTAGTTGTGCTTGATCTCGTCGTTTGCTTTTGCATGAGGCAGGCCAAATCGGGTCAAGAGACTGCTGACACCAGCGCAACCCACCGTTGGAGGAGTCTGCTTGCTCCTTGGAACAAAACAAAGCAGTCACTGCTGCTACAATGCATACCCATCAGAGCTATCAGCTGTACACTGCAACCGCAATCCATTCCTTGGCCCCGCCCTCCCTGCGCGAGCAGCTTGTCCTGTTGGAGTTGTTGGAGACACTCCTCGGCACAAAGTTGAAAACTTCGCTCAAGCCCGCTTACTCCAGCAGCTCATCCACTCCTGGACTTCCTCCAAGAATGCCACTCCTGCTACCAGCATCAAAACTACTGCACTTCCTCTACCGTGTCTGCCTCTTCTTCAAAATCCATCATCCTCAAAATCATCATCAGGCAGTCTGCGAAATCAGCAGAACCATCTCTGGTTCCTCTCCCCTTGATATCTTCACGGTCACCAGCATCGTCGTCATAACCATCATGATGGTAGTGGTCTAAAGCTTCTGATTCTGGGAAGTGCAGAATGTTGGTGGCTAAGCAATTTGCAGGGCTTGCCGGGTAAAGAACATAAAACCGTAAAGTTTCCAGCAACACGGCTTCAGAACCGCTTGGGTTCTCTCGAGACTTCAATCCAAGCCCCAAGTTCGCCTCCATGCGCAAGCGTTCTACCTAGTTCCAGCTCTGATTTCTGAACATTCGAACAAGGAACACCCGCAAAATGCATGCAACATAGTGGCCGTAAGCCTTAGCATTGGGTTTGGGGTTGCGAGATGTTGATAGGCTGAGACAGAGTCCACGATGGCCTCATGTCAGGGCCAAGCGACGTGCAGCGCGACATCCAGGGGTTCAGATCCTCCGCGGTGGTCTTTCGGGATCAGGGCCGAGCAAGTAGTAAGGTCCGTCGCCAGGAACTGTCTGTCAAGGGTCCTACGGTAAACCCTATCTTTAAAAACAGAAATCGGAGCTTTGCGGACTTCTGGGTTCCCTGATGTTCCCTCTGTGCTTGGAGGCGTGTCGGGCCATCGAAGGCGCCAGGAGCCTTACGTTCAAGTGGTTAGCTTGCCGTTTTGCCAGAGTCTCAGGCAAATTGTTCTCCTGACTCCTGATGCTCTCCATTCCCGAAACCCCAAACCGTGCGGAATGAGGTTGACCCGAAACGTCCTTAAACTCTCGACTAGCTTTGTTAGGGCTTAGGTTTCAAGACCTAAATCGCTCGAAGCCACAGGCTTTGGCACTTGGGCGCCGTTGCGGCAACTTGGGAAGTACAGTTAGAGTTGTCCCATCTTTCGACCTTGAGATCCGAATCTCAGGCATCGCCTTCGCAGCAGGCTTTCAGAATCCGTTCAGAAGACGTCTCGTCTGGAAGCATGTCAGATCCGTACCTTGGACCCGAGACCCGAAGCTGAAAGTCAGGGGCTGCTCAAGGGAGGACTTCAACAGTCTCATTATACCTATGAAATGAAACTTATTGTACTTATTATGCTGATTCCTATTAGCATTCTATTTTTTTCCAGGGATCCTCATGTCGATCGCGGCTCACCGTGGGCTTCCCACACTTCCATGTTGAAACAACACGACATGTCCATAGACCTGTCTGCCTGCGAAGATCAGGTACTGCTAGCCCCGAAATCCAAACCCGAAAACCAGGACCTGAACCTCTGAACTCCACACTCTCCAATCTGAGTGGCGCCGGAGCGATCGCAGGGCCGGAGCCAGGCGGCATTTCCCCATGCCGTGCCATGTGCCCTGCTGCAAGTCTGGGGCATTCCGGGGTTGAAGATGCAAAACGGTTTACGTGTAGGGTGGGGCGGCGTGGGATGGGGTTTAGGGTTCAAGGGTGCAGGGCTTTCGGATTTCAGGGTTTAGGTTTACTCGCGTGATAGACGTCATCATCAAAATACAGTGGGGCTTGTTAGGTCTTGCTTGCTATCAGAAACGACATGCATTCAAGCGCTTCTGCATATAAAAGACCTCAAACCTGCAGTTCGAATCCACCCGACAAGCACCCTGGAAGGCAACCCTTAAGGATGAATGGTGCAGGGCAGGCAAAAAGTCCGAACCTGCAAACCTTAGGCACGCGGGGTCGCGAACATAGTCTCACAAGGAACGATTGTGCCACCTTGCGCCGCATGAAGCGATAACATCGACACGCCACTTCTCTGAGAGCCTCGCGTTGTGTTCTGCTGTTAAACGGAGTTCACTGTTTACGGAAATCACACGAGGATGGAAGCTGTAGAAAAACAGAGTTTATGCGCCGGCGCCTGCCCCGGAATGCGAGGCCGCAACCACAAAAACCTCCAAACCAGAATCTAAATTCTACCGGCATGATTGGGAAATTTAGTATGATCGGGGAACGTAGTAGGCATGCTTGACAGAAAGCTTAGTGGCACCACCCTGGTTGCTCACGTACACTCATTCCCTAAGTCGGGGAACATTCGACGACTTTCAGTAACATTGATGGACAAAACCCTGCATTATTTGCGGACAGGAGTCTTCCATGTGCTCCTACTGCGACTGATGCTGCTACCACTACTAGTAGTATTCAGAGAAACAACAGGTGCCAAAAATAGTAGAACTACTCGTCGTCGTCGTCGTCGTCGCCGCAGGGCAGCAGCCGCAACAGCAGTAGCACTGACACGAGTGGGAATAGGAGTCGGAGCAGTAGAACTGATAGAAGGGTAAGAAGTAAAATTACCATTGTAATTAGTAGTAACTTAGTGGTAGTAGTAGTAGTAGTAGTAGTAGTAGTAGTTGTAGTAGTACTAGTAGTAGCAGTAGTCGTAGACTGTCAGCACCTGCAAGACATTGCAATGCTTCACAGTCGACGCCTCGTGCTGGGCTTGCGACTGCCCGGACTTTTGAGAACTGAATGCGTGCGGCACTTGGGAACGTTCTATTGTCTGGAGTTCTTTGTTTGAGGACTTAAGGCGTAGGGGTTCGGCGCTTTGACTTAGCACCTGTGGCTTCCAGAAGCAGTGTCAAGGGCTGCACATTCGGGCTGGGGTGTAAGGCTGTAGACTCTCGGCTTCAGGGTCCAGGGCCTTGAGAAAGACATTTCATCTCCCTTACCACACAACTCTGCCTGGATAGAGGTCAAGCCACTCTGTTGCTGATGAAAAGCCGGAAACATGGCTGCACGCATGTGCCAAACCACCCCTCTTACAGATCACTTGAGAAAAACCTCTATCGTTTCCTTGAACGTGCCACCATGGGGGATCGTGGAGCCATGACAGAATCCCGGAGGTGGTCATGTTTAAATTTTGCACTTCATGCAAGCAGTCGCCTGGCAGAGGTGAGACGAATCTGACGCTCTTCTACATCGCCCCTGACCAAAGCTCCCGGCTGCACAACGTAGAAGGGAATCAGCAGACCGTCACCCATCACGAACCAACCTGATACATGGGACTTAGGGTTTCCATGCTCAAGCTTTCAGAAGGGTCTTCGGGACGCCCCACCCCAAACCATGAACCCTAACCCTAAATCCCGAACAAGCCATAAATCCCAAACCCACATCAAACCCATAAACCCCAAGGAACTTGCTCCGGTCTCCACGACTTCCGCTGGTGGAGTTAAAGGTTCTGGAGTTTCCGGTGCTTGCCCGTGACAAGTTGACAGTCCATAGGTCCAGTTTAGGCTTCAGGCCGATGCCTTCGGAACCCGGACTGCCCCAAGCCCAGGGCGCAGATGTGCCTCCTGAAACTCAACTTGATGCCCACGTCTGGGCTTCCGGCCCAATGCCGGATATCGAGAAAGCTGAACTGCAATCTGCAGGCGGGACAAGCGATTCTCATTCTCGTGCCCATGATGTCCGGGATAAGAACCACCGAAACTCTTGACGTCCATCCTGAACCAAAAACTGAAAAAATGGAAACAGCCACAATCTATCTCCACCCATCTGCTTGCCTTTATGTGATTCTTGCTCCAGGTACTAGAATTCTCGTTGCACTTACGATAAACAAAAATGACTATCTCCTCGCATCTTGGAGTCCCCACCGGTGCCAGCTGCACAGGTCCTGGCATAGGCGTGCCGTCGCAGCCGCTGAAGCAATGCGCGGCCTGACAGAAGAAGCTCTCGGGTTTGGGATGAGCTTTAAGGGCTTCTGTTCCAATGCTTGCAAATCGACAAAGGAACGACTTGAGTGGAATAGACCAGCGAGGTTGTGCAACACAACCTTTCATCGAGCAAGCTGTGGGCAGGGTGCAAGACTTGGCGATCGCATCGAATAGCTTTTGGGTTGAGGACCAACCGCCAGATGAGTCAGCCAATTCTGGAAGCAATGAGTTTGCTAGTGGTGCTATGCCATTCCCAACTACGGCGAACTTCAACGGCAAACCCACGATGACTTTCGGGGCCTTGCGGTGCCCGGTATCATTCGCAGGTGGGCATGAGCGAATGCACCACCGCGGAATGGGATCTCTCTTGTCTGACCACCTGATGCGCTTCTCAAGCTTATACCCCCGGGCCTTATTTGGCAACGTTTGGGTTCTTCGATGTGAGATCCGGCTTGTTGGTTAGCGATTTACATAGCGGTTTATGCTTCCGATCCACCAAATTCGTGCGGTGATAGTTGCCTCGTGGGGACGACAGGGAGCTGACCTTCTGTAGTGCATCGAGGACCTAGCAAGCGTTGCTGCTTGGAGCGAAGGAGGGCCTGCTCGTCCCTATATGTGGATGCCCGCCTGGTGCTTGCGCTACTGCTAAGGCTGAGCAATCAACAGGATTATCAGGCCGGGTGTCTTCGATGAACACGAATGCAGCCATGCAGTACTGAGAAACCTGCCTGGCAGCCAGCGCGTAATGAGGAAGGCTGGCCCTGCGCAGCATGCCGACCCTGAAGAAACTAGCCTCCGCTGAACCCTGCAAACAAAAGAAACAAGGAAAACACGACAGTGAACTCCCAATCCCGAACAACTAAAGCACGAATCCCTGACACCGATACTTCTAAGCTAGGCTGCATGCAGTCATAGCTCCCGACATCCCCGGCTGAACTAGCGAAGGATCCAGCCTCATCGATGTTCGGCTTGATGCCTCCAGGTGAAACGGAAACTGAATCTGATCTACCGATCGGTTCCGGTATCCCACGGTTGAAGAGTTCAGAGTTCGCGCTTGGCTTTTTTGGAGCCTCCGGTGTTCAGCCTTTGGCGGCGCAAGCTCCGGACTGCCAAGTCAGCAGACACCACGCCCCAGTCCACTAAGTAACCCGTCGGCCAGCCCGACAGCCCAAATATCAACCAAAAAATACAGAAACCATATTCCCAAAACCCCGTTATACCCATGTGCCGAATCTCAAGCCCGAAATCCCAAGCCAAAAATTCCCGAAACCGTATTCCCGAAACCCTTACCCCAAAATCTCAAGCCCAAAAACTCAAGCCCAAATCCCCGTAACACCATATTCCCAAAATCCCAAGCCTAAAACCAAGAAAAAAACACCTTCCCCCATACATCCCCGTTATTCCTCAACCCAAACCCTCAAAAAACACCTTCCCCCATAAATCCCCGTGATTCCTCAACCCAAACCCAAGCCGTAAAACCCAAAACCTAATCCCTTTAATTCACTTAACCATGAGCCCAAAACCCAAGAATCACAATAAGCCTATGTGGGGCAAGGTTGTTTTAATGAAATTTAATAATATATTGTAATAAGATTAAACTACATTCTTTGAGTTCATACAGGCGAGTCTATGAGTAAGCCATTTAAAATGTTCTTCCCATTTTCAGGCGTCACCATCAAATTACATATTTCGCATGTCTTGTGTCCTCGTGCTTTTCGTGTTTCCAATTGCTTTTTAAGCATATCATCAACGAGTTTTTTCTTTTCTCTTTCCGCCTCTTTCTCATCCATTCCTTCTTCTACAATCCGCTTATTCAATAGGTGAGTTTTGGTTTCTATGTGTCGTTTCCAAATATTTTTTAACACGTCCACTGTACACTATTTTCTCAATTCTTTTACTTTCTCGGGGTGCTTTTCTTTGTATTGTTTAGCTTTTGTATTCACGGTACCTTTATTATTTTCATAATAAGTTCTTGAATAGTTCGAACACGTTAAAACTGTGATTCGACAAATTCGGTCATGTCTTTTTCTTTCTTACACTTGGAACATATCTTTTTCTCAATTTCACTCATCCCTACTACTAAAGATGAAAAAAACCTTTAATACGCTTAACCCTAACCCGTAAACCCTAACCCGTAAACCCAAAAATAACAATAAGCCAATACTGGGGCAAGGTTGTTTTTACAAAACAAGGCTCTAACGAGCGTGTCTTTGATGAAATTTAACAATATTGTTTTGGAATGTAGGGTTGCCCAACGAAAGAGTTGGGTCTGGAATTCGGGGTTTCCCAATGGAGCGGGCTTGTGTGGAATTAGGGGTTTCCCTTCATTTTTCCTTTAAAAGGCATAATTTGGAAAGTGGTGTTTCCATCTTATAAATGTCTAATATCATTGACTGTAATAAAATGCCTTTACCACTTCCGGAAGGACCAGATATTATTTGACTAAAAGGTCGTCTTGGCGCTACTTCATATTTAGATTGTTTGAGATCGTATTCTTTGACATTAACAGGTTTAACTATTGGAATGTTTGACAGTACTGTTAATACATAGAAAATTACATCGTTATTTCGTATGAACGGTTTTAAAGGTTATGTAAAGATGTAATAGATGAGTTAAAGAAATTAGACGAAGTAAAAAATCACCGAGATATATAATGTGTTGTCGTAGTTTGCTAGAGTTCTTGAAAGC